TATAGCAGAAACTTTATTGAAGATGAACCAAATTTTCTCGGTAAATCAGTTGGAAAAATCTGATAGTCTTCAAATATGAGGGAAAGAAATATAGAATTTCAAAGCCAGCAGGCGGTTAACAGGACGAGACAGGTGAAAATACAGATCCTATATTTTCATTTTCGCATATTCAAGTAACAAAGGAGATAAGATACTTGATTCAATGATAAAGTTAAATAAATAAAAAGGAATTTACAACAAAAACTTGTGAACTGGGTATCTCTAGGGTGCAAAGTAAAAGTCTTGAGAAACAGGAGTCGGTGCAACAACATTCATTCTTGGACTTGAACAGAGTCAGCTTGACTAGAGCCAATCGAACCCTGTTTTCTTTCAGCTTGAAGTGAGCGACATAGTGATTCAAGCTTTTCCTTTTGGTTCTTTGTCTTTTCCAATTGTTTCTTCATACGTTCCCGCTGCTCAAAGGAAATGACTCCCATTAGTTATTACCAGAAGATGAAAACTTAGAGAGTCAAATGAGTAAAAATCGGTAACATGAAGATCTGCATATAGACGTATTAAGGTATAATGGCAAAGCATTCTACAGTACATCTCTAAGGAATACGAAATGCAATCCAGGAAATTCCATACTGCAAAATTTCATTAGCTATAACCAAAAGATGAAATAGTTCCATAGCATAATTTCTTAAGGCATTGTATACTGCTAAACATCATTCACAATACAGCTTCCAGAATTTGGAAAAGAGTGAAATTCAATCCATGCATTAAGTACAAAATAATTTCAAACATGAAGTATCAAATAGCCAAAGTGTGTCTGACATAACAGGGAGATTAATTGATGGTTTGATACTACATATAATTTTCCTAGGTTTTGCAGGGTTGCAGCTATTATCAAACAAACACAAGTGTGAAACACCCAGGTATCCTGTAAGAGATAAGTCTATAACTAAGAGAAGGTCCAGGATAGATTGAAGGGTATCAAGATACAAACTGAACTTTATTTGGGGCCATTAAATCAATGTAAAATATTCTGATCAGCTACCATGGTTCTTAAGAAGAGGAATTCATGCTTTCTTTTCAAGTAAGGAATTTGTAGAAAATAATGCATTCTCACAAAATTGCATCCAAAAGCCAATTGAAAATAAAAATACTGGAGTAAGAGACCATGACAATTAAATTTTATTAATTGGATCAGTAGTCACTTTACGGAAATGAGGTTATTAATTGGATCAGTAGTCACTTTATGGAAGTGCATATGTTAAGGTGGATGTGCGGAACACTCTAAAAGATAGAATAAGAAATGAGGTTATTCGCAAGAAAGTAGGTGCTGCAGGCATTGCCGACAAACTAAGGGAAAATCGCTTGCGTTGGTTTGGGCATGTAAGACGGAGATCCGAGGGTGCACCGGTACGAAGAGTGGAAGAGTGGGACCATGGAGGGGTAAAACGAGGGAGAGGGAGACCAAAAATGACTTGATTGGAAGGAGTTAGGAAGGATATGAAGCATATGGATTTGTATGAGGATGAGGCATTGGATCGTAAGGGATGGAGGAGAAAGATTATACTTCTGATAGCAAATATTTGAGGTTGTATTATTTTGCACACACCGTTTATAGTTGAGATTATTTTTAGCCAATTTTCCAAAAAAAATTTTATCAGATAAAAGAGGTCAAGGTCCTCATAGACACCTTACAAAGATAATTTTAATCAACATCCATCTTTCTTAAGATCACCCCCTTCATAAGAAGGCGTACCTATGGTTCTAACTGAATGCATGCAAGTTAAGAGATCCATATATAAAGATACGGGGCAGAAGGGTTTACCTCTTCGACGAGTTCTATAAGAGTAAAATCTGATTTCTCACATTTGCTCTTCAAGAAAGTATTTTCCTTTTTCAGGTCTTTTGTCAATTTGGACATCTGATTTTAAACACAACAGAAAGCAGGAATCTGATGAGGAAGCCTCATAATCATTAGAAATAAATGTTAACGACGTTATAAGTTCTGACACAGGCCATGGTTTTCAATATTATATGCAACAGTGAGATTATAGAATTACCTTTTCAATCTCTTGCTTAAATGTTTCAAAAACCTCATTGCTTTTCAGCAGTGCATCCTGCAAAGAAAGTCATTTACTTTCTATCAGATAGATTAACGTGTTGCACCTAATTAAATAGGGTCTACAAAATTTAAATGCATCTCAATTACATAAATGTCAACAAAAAGGGTATTTTTCCCATGAAAGTTGAGAGTGATACTCACTTGAAATTGTTGAAATTTTTCCCCGTCGGCTGTTAATTGTTGACGTAGACTTTTTTCAGTTTCCAAAAGCTGTGATATTTTCTCGGCATATACCTTTATTTGAGCCTGTTCATGTGCCACTTTTTCCTCATTTTGCTCAACTTTCAGTTCGGCAATCTTAAGCTCTAGTGATTTTTGCTTCAGCTGCACAGCAATATCACCAAATGCCACAGGATCAAAGGAAGTTCCAATTACTTAAAGTAAAGATTTCCACATGATTTATATACAGATCATTAACCATAAAATATGCCATATGGTACCTCCTGGGCATATTGTTGTTGACACTGAGTGTAATGTTCAGCAAGCTGCTTCAATTTGTCTCTCAGCCTAAATCCCAAGGGCACATGCAAAGATGCAAAGGACAGAGTTTTAAAAACTAATACAACAGAGAATAATTGATTCTAACATATGTATATGTTCTAATACACTACCAACATATAATAGGTTAAGAAAACATGTTAACACTCCATTTGTCCAGAGCAACATATTCTCAATGAACAGGAACTTCACTCCCCAAAAAGAAAAAGAGGGCTAGTAAGCAGATCTTACCAAAAAAAAAAAAAAAAAAAGAAAAAAAAAAGAAAAGAAAAAAGAAAAAAGAAAAATGTAGCCATATTTGATCACCAGAATACAATAACAGTATAAGAAGTTTAAATAGGTAAAAAGGAAATTAGGATGCATGGATTCAAGAGTCTTCATGCAATTTTGCAACTACTTCTAAGTTGCAAAATGGGCACAAGGATAATGAAAATTTCCTTTTAGATATGTATGCATAAGTAGGAGCAATGTTACAAATTTACAATGACTCTTCATCTGCCTCAAGTACTCATATTGGATGCTTACACTCTTACAAAGGAATGGAATCCTCACCCAACACTTCAACAATCATCTTTAATTATCTAGAAACACATATTTGTAGAAAAATTGTAAAAAGAGAGGGAAAAATCAGAGAGGGATTTTGTCAATATTTTTATTATGTGAAGTTGGAAATGTGTCTCTTCTACGATGAGGAAACCTGAAGCTGTAGACATCTTAAATTGAATACAGTTGATATAACCTTTTACAAGGAAAGAGGCAAGGGGATCAAAGGGAAAAAGGAAGTGGGTGGAAATCAATGCAGGAATGCAGACATTGTTGTCATTGGGGAATGAAGTAGGAAGTAGGTAATCGAGGTGAAAAGCAAGACCAGAAGGCTAATTTTACAGCTTTTTTTTTTTAGAAAAATTTAGGGGACACTAATCAATTTCATTTTCTGCATTATGTACATCACCTTTCTGCATAGAAATATATTTTTTGACTGATAATAGGATCACATGGTTTTTCACAACTTACATTTCATTCTCCTTCAGCTGAGAAATGCATTCTCCTTTCTGCTCTTCTAGCCTGACACTCACATCCTACAACAAGCACATTAAATATCAGATATGATCAGATGGAACAATAAAAAAGCAGCATCAGTTGCACCTCATAGAAGGAATATTCCTCCATTAGAAAATGTTAATTTTTGAAATATACTGAATGATTACCATTAGAGCCAATCTATTTTACCATCACATTAAGTAAAAACGTTTAATAAATCAATAGCCTGTGGATATAATCCAACTCAGGTGATAGAATACAAAAGAAAAACGCACATGCGCTACAAGAAATATACTCGTCTTTATAAGCATATGAAAAATGCATGATGAGTATCATAACAGGTGATTTAAGTCCTTTGGAACGGAATTGATAATCATCTGGCAGCATTTTAAGGATCTATATCTGCTTCCTTTAGGAGAGAAGGGTACAGATAGTATTTTGTAAGCTTCTCTAATTATAAAATACATGTACATACAAAGAAAGTTACGAATCCTCCTGGAACTAGTGGAAAAAAACTATGGGTCAATCATGTTGAATATCAATAAAACCCAAGCCCAGAGATACCTACAACTTAACCCATAAAGCAGCACGCGGCTGGAATAGCTACTACTAAAGATCCCAACATTCTTCCAACCACATAATCAGAGATAGCTAAAGCCCCTAAATGAAGCCAAACCATAATGCAAGAGCATATGGCTCCCAATCTTGCAAGTACAATAGCACAAGACATATCATAGGATATACAACAACAACAAAGCCTTAGTCCCAAAATGATTTGGGGGCATATCATAGGATATACACTCAATAATTATCTAGGTTTGGAAGTTGTTATACGTATACAAGTATTGAGCCTGTCCAAGCAGATTGTGCACAGAAAAGCCTTCTTTTCTATTTTTTTTTTTTTTATTTATTTATTTTTAGAACAAGACTATTGGTTCCCAAAGAAGATTGCGTTTTATCAATTTGCATATTGCACCTCCCAGGGTACAGGAGAAGACACCATAAAAAAGCTCCAATCTAGAGTCTCCAATAAAGAAACATCCCCCACAAATTGAGAGCTCAGCCAAATCATTACAGATTTTTTTCCTCAATGTAAAATGTCATGATGAATTGCTCAAGGCAAAATAAAAAAAATAAATGATTAAATCACACCCTCTCTGACCAAGTCATAAATTACAATTACTAGGTGATTCAGAAGTTGACAAAGACAAAGGTTGCTCTCCTAGTTAAGGGTGCTTTCAAGTTCTTAAACCATATCTTATCATTAGCACCAGAGTACCAATATTACCAAAGGGATAAATAGCAAGGATATTTCAGAAGTGAATTTCAAAAGATTAGTATAAGAGTATAGGATGGGTTGCATGTAGGGGCAAACTGTCCATACTTCTGAAGACCACAGCTCCTTTAAATGAGCACTGGACTTGCCTAAATAACACAGATCATGTTAAAGTTGTTTGAAACTGCAAGTAGCATGAAGCCAAGCCAATAAAAATACATTGGCCAAAGCTGGTGTTTTCCCTTTCCACCTATGCTCTATGGCATGTCCCTTAATATAGGTGAACATGGTTTGTATCTACCAAAGTCTAGCAAGGCAACCTCATTCAGCACATTCAGGGGAACAGCCATACTCTAAAGGAGCTCTCACTTTGGCTGTATCAGCCATGAGTCCAGTACATGAGATGAAATGATGCTAGATTACTTTTTTCCCACAATATATTACTACACAACAGTTCTGTTCAAACCAGATTTACCACGTGATTTCCATATAAGCATTGTATGACAGCAGCTTCTTTGCCTTATGAGAGTGTTGTTGGGGGGTACATGAGATGAAATGATGCTAGATTACTTTTTTCCCACAATATATTACTACACAACAGTTCTGTTCAAACCAGATTTACCACGTGATTTCCATATAAGCATTGTATGACAGCAGCTTCTTTGCCTTATGAGAGTGCTGTGGGGGGGGGGGGGGGGGGAGGGGGGGCAGACATACCACATGGTTTCCAGAACTTCGAATAAAAATTTCCCTATGAACTTGATTATATCTTCCTCTAAAGCTTCTATATTAATTACTAGAGTACTGGCCACCCTGAGGATCAATTTAGTTAGTTTCAGAGATGGTCTATGTAAGATAGTTGATGTTTCTAGTTAGGGCAGTGTTTTCCAGCTAGGGGTGATCCATATGAGACTATACATGAGCTTAGTGCCTTAATAATTAAGTAATCATCTGAGATATCTCTGCAGCATGGGATCTCTTCTCCCATGTTCCATCCAAGCGATAGATTTCACCAGGTTCTCCCACTCTTCTCTACATTACTCCCTCCACCCCTATATAATAGGCCACGTTTAATAAGATATTATGAATATAAAGTATAAAGGCTTAGTATCATGATTATCCTTAACTATTCAAATTCAAATTCATCATGCTTAAAGCTATCCAAGAATTTTAACTAGGACATTAAGGGTGCCTTCTATTCACTTATATGAGCAACTTTAATGAACTTACAATTTATATTAGTTGTAAACTAAACTTGGGTAGCCCTCATTAACCCTAAACCTATTTGAATTTGTTTTTCATGATAAAACTTACTTTTTTCTAGAAATAAGATGAAATAACGGCCTAAAGGGTAACAATTAAAATACTCCCTCGAAATTTTTTGCAAAATGAAAATTATCGAATCCAATAAAAATGTCCAATCCATCTCTAAGATCTCTTTTAATTCCATTTGGCACATTTTCCAATGCACATTTTAGCTTTTAATAGCTCTCATGTCATGTTTGATATTCGTAACGTACCCATTGAGAAGAATCAAACAAGAAATCACATGACTTTGTTTTATCTGTTTTGGAAGGAATTTAGAAGATTCTCTTTAGTTATGAATAGTGTCTAGATTTCAATCAAGAAGACAAAAAGAGACAGATTAGAAAGTAATCAACTTTATAGGATAATTGTCAAATATAAACCTTTATAGCATCCTCGAACTTGGTAGATAAATCTGATCTCAAATTCTGCCCTTCCTCTGATACTCTTTTAAATTCATCCTGCATATAAACCATCAATTCTTGTAATGATTACATTAAGTCTCATGTGAGAACAATGAGTGCATACAAGTATCATATTTCTTCAGATCTTAAGAGTTTATATCAATAATCAATCCCACGAGTTTAGAAAGTTAGTGTCTAGATTCAGATTTCAGATACACAGAAAGTTAACATATACTTATAAAACATTAAAACATAACGTCAGTTTGAAACATAGTGATTAACACTTTTTAACAGGGGAAAAAAAAGTTCAAATTTCATAAACACCAATTGCAGGGTACTTTTGGGATGCAAAATTACTTGTTCCATCCAAAAAAAAGTTCTATTTTAATTCAAATTACACTATAATAAAGACATATTCATAATGATTTATGGGAATACTTCTAAAACTCAAGCAATAACATAACAATATATGTCATACATCCATCGTTTTTTTTTTAAAAAAAAAACAACTTTTATACCATTCACATATATTACAATGACAGTTTTTGTTGATTTAAACAAAGCTAATTGAAACAATAAAAACAGTCGTGGATTCTTGAAAGCTTTGTGTCAATGTATATTTTCAAAATATCAACTTTTTATAATTTTTAGATATTGATTATTAAAAATGTTGAATATTGAATGTATGCATTGGCAAGCATGAAAGTCCAAACATAGCAATTAAATAAAACAAAGTACTTCACAAAGTGAATTTATAGCACACCATGGAACGTCTTCTTAGAAAAACAAGTTTAATAATTGGAAATTTTGTTAGAAGAAACCTTTTAGAGCAACTTCTTGTTAAAAAAAAAAAAAAAAAAAAACGATTTAAAATTTTTTTGGTAAGTTAAAACCTTAAAAGTAAAAATTTTTGTAAGAGACAGCCTAACCCCACTTTCAGACGTTGACCAATTGATTTCCAGCCTTGACTTGTGGTACACAGGTCACATGACCTTATTTTTACAATTTCCACCCTTTTCACTCTCTTTCCTCAGCCACTAATTCCAATCAGTCCAAAACTGGAGCTGGTCCAATACTGAGGCTTCCTCTTTCAGATGCACAAAATCAAAGTAGAATCGAAAATCTTTCCCTTCCTCACTTTGATCCATTTTCGTGTACACAGATGATAGACATGCTCAGATCCATGATCAATGTACAGTTCAAATACTGAGCTTCTCCAAATGCACAAAAGAAACTCCAAAGGTAGTGATTTATGCTCTTAGAACAATCTCCACCCCTAACATAGTACAAGAATTTCCAAATCTTGAAAGCTACTTCTAATTCAATAATAGGAAGATTATCATTTACCATCTACCCAACAACCAGCAAAGCACCAACTTCACCTTGTAGGTCCTCTTTCTCAAAGACAACTTTTTTTTTGGCTTCCGCTTCCTCGCATTAACTCCACTGTGGTACTCACCAATACCAGTCGCACTCAAAGAGCAATTCTCAGCCATAGAGACTGATATAAATTTTATTATTTGGGGAAGAAACCCTTAATTTTCAAAAACCTTCAATTCAATGAATTAAGCACAGATTACACAGGAATTTAGAAATTACCTTGGTTGAATTCAGTTGGGAAAGTCTTTAATCGCAAAAACTAACTACCTTAGGGCTGATTTCGATATTCAATTGCAAGGGAATGAGAAAACGGGGAAGAAATTAGAGGGAGCAGGTTTTAATGGAGGGAAGAGGGTGGAAATAGAAAGAAAAAAAAGGTCATGTGACCTGCACACCCCAAGTCAACGTCGGAAATAGGTTAGTCAATTTCCGAAATTGGGGTTACACCGTCTCTGACTAAAAAAAGTTTACACTAACGTTTTTAGCTACCAAAAAAAATTTAAAAGGTTTTTTCCGACAAAAAAGTTGCTTTAAAAGGGTTCTTGACAAATTTACCTTAAAAATTTTAATAGCCATTATATGATGGAACTGCCTTGATATGAGTCTATGGGCTTGAGGTCATAAGCTAGGTTCTTGAACCAAAATGAGCCTTAATAAATGCTTTTGCTCAATTTTCTAGGTTTTTTTTTTTTTTTTTTTTAAATAAAAATAAAAAAGGTGTAAAGACGAGCAAATGTAATGCTGAATGGAAACAAAATGTAGCAAAAAAATCATCTCATTTATACATTTCGCATATAATGTCAAATATCATTGCTTAAACACCATTCACTCACATTCACAAGATGTATATTGAAAACCAACAGATGGAGGTAAGAAAGTTGTATACCATTAACATCTTATTCTGACGTTGTAACTCCCTACACAATGACTCAAGCTTGTCTCGAACAGCAATAGCTACAACAAGAAAATGGTTGATCAATATTTGCATTTCAAGAAAAATAAAGGACTAGATGTCATACCAAGTGATTTCAAACTCTAAAAATAAAAAAAGGACTAGACAATAGGAAACCACAGCATTTCATTCAGTCTGTTGCAACTATTAACAAATGTTTCACTTAAGACAAACATATATGTCCAATTCTTCCTATATGATATTCTGCTGCGCTTGGGCATGTATTATACTACATGACCTACTTATATTTCCTTCTTTTCCTAGATTGTAGTAGGGAAAAAGAACTGGAAAGATTGGAGCCTCAGCCTCAGTTGAATAAACAGGCCACACAAAACTAGAAATCCCCCCATATGGTATTCATATCCCGTCAATGAAAACAATTTCCACGGGAAAAAATTGCAGTTGTGGACTTGCATAAGCAACCACAGTGTGCCGTGAAAGCAGCATCTTGCAGGTGCAACGTCACACTTCTTAGCCATCATTGTGGAAATTGACAAATTGGTAAAGTTTCACTTCACCCTTACAGTATTAGAATTTGGGAATATAAATTTTAGATTATACCTAATACTATACCTTTTTGCACCACATTATGTTACCAGAAGAGATCTGAATTGCTTAACATTTGTTGATTGTGGTGGCTAGAATATATTTAAGACTTTCGATTATATGAAGTTTACCAGTACACCAAACATATTGACTTTGATGATAGAGTTTAACGGCTGATGCAGAAACATAAACAGTCCATATAGAATATTGTAGTATGATTCATAACACAAGAAATGAAATGGCTTTTCAAAGAAAATCAAGTTGGGAATCCTATCTAAAATGGCTTTGGTGGAGCAGCCTCGAATTTATTCCCCATATTTACCTGCATCTCTCTCTGTAAGAACTTGTTTATACTTTAAAGTGAACTCCAGAAATTCCTGCTCGGTTTTGAAGGTTTGCTTTGAACTTTTACGCCTCCCTTCAGGTGGTTCCTGTAGCAACAATATAATTAAAATCTTCGAACAATTGTTGAGAAATTATCAAAGCTGTATAACAGATAGAATTACAGATGAAGACAAGCATAACACGTTACATGTAAAATACTTAGCAATTTCTCAATAAAAATTCCTTCATCTAAGCTTTATAATTATGATGAAGATTCATATGACATAGCCTCATACACACCATCAAAATCCACCACAACATCGCACGGGAATGCTAAAGTCAAAAAGAATATATAAGAAAAACCTGCTCTTTTGTCTTACAGCAGCACACCAGCAACACCTGCTAGGAATCATGGTATGGAATTTTTAATTTCGAACTGCTGAAGGAATGTCACTTGAGCTGGAATGATTGAATAAGTGTAGAGGTGAGTCTCCTATGACTAATGCTAATTCACAAGATTAAGAGAAAAGATATTCTGGATTAAGCTCTCCACTGTTGAACAAAAAGTGAATGATACTGAATATAATGAATGTTGCAGATCTCCAGGGCTAAAAAGTTGGTTACACTTATCAACTAGAAAGCTAGGATTCCTAATCAGTTGTTGTGTAATGGCTTAGTGCTATCGTTGTTTGCTCATTTGCAGCAAATATTAAACACTGAGGCTGCATATGTATTGGTTTAGCTTATGCCAGTGATGTGAGTCATCTTGTTGGCAGTCCTTCCTACAAGGTAGGTTACTAGGTTATTTGACGCAAGTGAAGCTGACCCAAGATTTAAAGTGTGTTATTGATTATTCTTCAAGGTCATAACTCAAATTTGGCATTAGTTAAATATTAACCTTTATTAAAAATCAAAGAGAGATCCTCAAACTTAGCAAAGTAGAACATATCCTGGGTCTGATGCATGAAATCTAAAAGTAGATGGATAAGGAATGTATTCATAAACAAGTACCAACACCGTCAAAAAGAGAAATTTCTATGCACATGGATGCTGCCACTAAGCTAAACAACTCCTTCCAGGTAGAATATTGCCCATATTTGCTTTACATCAAAAGGAGAAGCAACCGATGAGACAACAAAAAGGAGGTAAGAGGCAGTCTCGATATGCAATACCACTCTAGTCCTAATTTGTCTCCTATTTAAACCCAAGTCATTAGGCAAGAAATCAGTAATAAGTTCACATCACAAGAGAACCCTACTAGTTCCAAATGCAGCTGCATAAACACATGAGCGCTTGTTAAGCACACTTAGATCATGCTCTCTTAAACTAAGTCAAAAATATTTAGGACAAAGGATCAAAGGTGTGTAAAGATGATTAACAAGCTGCTGCTGCTTCTGTTCTCATAGCTGAGGGCAATTAGATTTGCATCCATGGTTCATATTGCATAAGGAATGCACGTCCCTATGTCACAAATTCAAAGCCTTTCCTATGCCATGCTAGTCCCATTAGGTTGAGGTAGATTATAAGCTAACCTATCCCTTTCACAGGGAAAATTGGACAAAAGTATATGATGATGAGGTCCAACACGGAGTGGCCTCACTTCGTGATGCTTCATAAAAATAAAAAATATTAAGCATTGCATTTCAGTCTCTACTGTGCATCAGAAACTTCAAAATAAAGGGGGATGAGGAAGGGGGAGCAGAAATGAACAGGATTTGCTCACATAACACCGATACAACAAAGTGATGAACAATATTTATTAGCAAGTTCAAGATAAGCTTATATACACAATATTTACCTTTCGGTTTTTCAGATTCTCAGATGACTGTGCTTCTTTTGAATTATTTGGTACATCTGATCCCCCTAGATATGCTGAAGAACAACAACACTTGAACTTAAGGCAGATCTATAGAAAAATAGTTCAATATAAGCCCATTTCACAAAAGAAAAATGGCAGGTGGTTCAGGAACTCACACTTCAAGCTAGCCAGTGTGTGAAGATGCAACAATCAATAAACAGGAGAATATTCATGGGGAAGAAAAGGTAGAACTGAGTGACTGCTACATATTCAGGTAATGAGCCTAAACACAACTCTCATGCTCCCTTCCGTGACAACTCCTAAGATAATGTCAGTAGTCAGAAAGAAAACATACTACTCTCTCTCAATGCCAGCAGCTTTCCCCCCCACGAGTGAATTTAGGTAAACTAACGAGTATAAACTTCTATTAAAACTAAGCTTGATTTCCTTAACCTTAGATTTATTATTATTTTAATTTAATCATATTATAGCACCAAGGGGCAAGTGAGACTGTGAGACAGGGAGTGACACCAAAATACAAAAGGAGGGTAAGGTAAAGGGGAAAAAAATCTTGGGCCCTTAAGCTTATCCACAAAATTGAGAAATGTCAAGCTATGCTTACAAGCTAAAAAACTTGACTCCAGCTAAACAAAGGCCTCACAAATTGGAACTTAGAACCTTAAAAGGGAAAGTGCACCAATCAAATCTCTATGAAAACCATTTTCCAAATTTCATATGTTATTATCTTTTAATTTGAACATCTCAATTCCAATAATGGCTTCCTTAATAATTAGAATCCCTTTAAACCATTTCACAGCGCTATAAAATTCAAACATAATACACTTGCTCTTTTATGGATAACGGAAGTAACACATATTTTAATTATAATTTACTTTAATTATTTTTGCAAAAAGGAGCAACAACAACAACAACAAAAAACAAAGCCTTAGTCCCAAAATGATTTGGAGTCGACTAAGAAGAAACGTAATAAGAAACCATTTGCAAAAAATGGAACATAGAAAGGAAAGTGATAATAATTAAAGTGATGAAAAAACAAGAAAAAAAATAAATAATTAATTAAAAATAAAAATGAGGGCAGTGTACAGTGAAAACTCAAAAAGAGAATATATAAATAAATTTGAGAAAATTTTATAAAAGAGGAACAAGGGGTGATGAAACAAAGGAAACCAACTAAAACGTATTTTAAAAAACCTTGACATAGGAAGATTTAAGTTTGCAAAAACACAATGAGTTAAGGTAAAAGAAAAAGAGAGAACCAAAAAAAAAAAAAAAAAAAAAAACAAATATTTATAGTCATGACATGTCCTTGGCGTAGATTTTATCACTCTATTTCACCCTATCGAATGGCATATCTTTCCTCAATCCCCAAACGGCTTATATCACTCTCAATCACCCTCTAAGTTATCTGATGTCTTCCCCTACCCCTCACAATCCCATCAATTTGCCACTCTTCAAGCTTTCTTATCGGAGCCTCATTTGATTCCATCTTATTTTAAGTCATGACATGTCCTCAACGTAGATTTTATCACTCTATTTCACCCTATTGAATGGCATATCTTTCCTCAATCCCCAAACAGCTTATATCACCCTCAATCACCCTCTAAGTTATCTGATGTCTTCCCCTACCCCTCACAATCCCATCAATTTGCCACTCTTCAAGTTTTCTTATCAGAGCCTCATTTGATTCCGTCTTATTTTAAGTCCCTTGCTTTCTTCTTTATCATCTAATTCCTCCCTCATCTGGTTCTCATTTCTCAATAGATGTAAACCCTACTTTCTTCCTAATTATCTAATTCCTCAACCGCTTCTTTCTTGTATGATCACAAAACCAACGCAACATATGCACCTCTGCCACATTCATCTTATGAATGTGACAATGCCTCATGTCTTCACATATTCAAAAAAATGATATTGGAAAGACCTGTTAAGGATTTTACAAGTAAATCATCTCAAAGTTCAATAGAATTTAAAGATATGGGGAAATCCCAATCAAATAGTTTCTCACTGGACCATGTTAGTCTTACAATAGTAAAAAAAATATACATAAGGGCTGCTATCACAGAGACTATTACCCTAAATAGAGGCAGAAAATTGCAGACATAGGCACCTTACTTATCCTATTGCTTCCCAATTAAACCTACTAGTAATCACATGTTATAAGATACACTTAACTACAGTTTGCAAAACTATAAGTATTTGCACCATACATTCATCACTAAGGTTAAATTACTTATATCTTCCCCCAAATGAAGGAGCAAAAACCATTATGAAACAAGACTGCTCCTTGTTCTGACAAAAGCTCAGAGTTAGTACAATTAGATTTGCAACAAAAATTTTGAAAGAATAATTGTTGGGGCCTACAGCCCTTACAGAAAAATCAGCACATAAAAAATTATCAGGTTTCATGACTGTCAACATGTCAGCACAGAAACAAAAGGAGGACAAGTAATAAGTGTACACTATAGCCATTGATATAAACATCTTACCATGATTCACTTGTTAACCTTTAGGTTTCATTATCATAAATGGTTAGGCAATATCTTATGATTCACAATATACATGTTTTTTAAGTGTAGGAAACATGCAATAATTCCATTTGGTCCGTATATTAGATCATCTACAAAGCCCCATGAAACTAATAGCATCACTAAGAAACTGATAAAGATCTTCAGGAAGCATAGCTGCATAGGTAATTACATTTATCAGCGCTGTGGACTTCTGATTGACCTTTATCTTTCTCATTACTGCTCGTTCTTAAATCAGATCCTCCTGAAGCAGAGGTAGATGATTCAGCTTTGATTGCCAACGTATCTTCTCTCTGCTCAAAGCAGCCATCATCAGAAACATTGGCAGATTCTCCAGAAGCTTCGTAACCATCCTTCTCAGACAATGGAACTGGAAAGGTGCGAACTTTGGTCACCTTATCACCTTTTCCTTCAACTGAAACAAACCCATTTAGTGATGCATCATAGCTAAAATCACTTGAGCTATCCGGTTCCACTGAATTATTCTCTTTGTAGTCACATAATGATTTTTCCTTTTCATTCAATGGTGTCACAGGAGCTATGGAGTCTGGAGCACTCTCAACAAATCCATCAGGCAAAGAATCCACTTCCGGAAGCTGGTTTGCTGCTGAATCATCCATTTCGCCTGTAACACCAAAAGGCATTAAAAATTGTTCCACTCATTAAAAGGTTTCCCCTTCAGAAGTGTATACATAACCACTCAACAAATTATATCTACACAGCTCAATTACCCCAATTTATCAAACAATGGCACTTTAAGAAAATTAAGGGTCTTAGGCTAATGTATGTTAGGGCAATGCACTAATGATATTCCGAAAAAGAATCTCATTAATCAATTCAATTAACATTCTATAAGAAAGCTCTTTAGTAACCAAAGTACGCAAAAACACATATTCAAAATATCAACGAATCAAAATCACAACTAGGCCCGCCCCTGAGCCAGGGCATGAGGGGCTGCTGCCTTGGGCGAGAAAAGGTCCATTTTCATAGTTCCATCTAATAATGAAGGGTTATACTACGTAATACTTATTAACAACAGCCTCTAACACATTAGCAACCAAATTTAGCTCAATAATCAAATGAGGCTCCAAAAATCACATTAAATTCTTCTCGCTTAAGAATATTAACGTATATAGCACATAGCAAATTTCTAGCAATATAATCGATCGTTATAATATCTCATAACTTGAATAATAATAACCAAAAGTTCAAATTTTCACTTAAGAAGAACCCTAAATTGAGTATAATGATAATTAAATTAACGATAAGCCCTAGATTGTGATATTGGTATTTAATGATTCAAAAATAAATAAATAAACCAGCTTACCTAAGAAGTTGGTTCAATGGAGGAGAGGAAGCTCAAAATCCGCTTTAATGGAGGTTTCAGAGTACGCGCTTCAATGAAGAATATAGATAGAAGGGGTGCTGCATAAAAAAAGTGTAAAGTAAAAAAAAAAGAGAATTTTGTTGAAGTTTTACCAGATTAAGCCTATTTCACAAACTAATTTTTAAAATAGACGCGTGGTCAAACTATTTACCAAATTAAGTTTGTGGGATAAACGCTGACTCGAGCTTCTGGAATAAAACGTAGACTCAGGACAGCGTTTTACCCCTGATTTTTTTTTTAAAAAAAAAAACAAAGTGTAAAACGCTACATGTTTGACCTTTTCTTTTAATTTAGTAATTTTTGTTTTTAAAAAAAAATAAAAAAAAAATTATACACTAAAAACGCTACCTGAGGAGAAGCATATGTATTTTGTTAAAGAAAAAAAAATTAATGTATTGCTGAGCATCAACTGTTTCCATTATATCATGAATTGATTTTGAAAAACACAAAATAATGGCAGCAATCAAAGCATATGTATTTTCTGTATATTGCAATCATGTGAATATGGACTTAAATACAAAAAGGAGAAGAAAATAGGAAGCAACAATCGTATCCCAACCCAACCGCAATACTCGGATACGATATGATAATTATCACATATTGATAATTATCCACCCAATTAATACAATCATTATCACATATTGATAATTATCCACCCCAAAGAATACAATCATTATCATAATAACATAATTATCCTAACAGACTTTTTGTTACGCAATGGTGTATAATTTTTTTTTAACTTTTTTTCAAAAATCAAAAATTACAAAAAATAAATAAATCAAATACACTATAAACCCTGCCTTAGACATCGTTTATAGTGTATAATTTTATTTTATTTTTTTTAAATCAGAAATTACGAAATTTAAAAAAAAAAAGTCAACATGTAAAACGCTATATGAGACAGCGTTTTTTATACATTGATTTTTTTTAAAAAAAAAAAATCAGGGGTAAAACGCTGTCCAAGTCAGTCTTTTATCCCAGAAGCTTAGTTTGGTAAATAGTTTGGCCACGCGTTTATTTTAAAAATTAGTTTGTGAAATAAGCTTAGGTTTGGTAAAACTTCTGAATTTTCTTCGGTAACATTATATTTTAAGTTTTTTTTAGTGGTGAATTACAAAAAAAAAAACTTATTATCTCTGATAAATTCGAATTTTTTTTATTACTGAAGAGAATAGCTGTTTTAATATAAACTCACTAATCATGGTTAATTTTTTTATTTTTTAATAATTAAATTATTTAAAAAAAAAAAAAACAAACCTCTCATTTCTCTCCTCTGACCGAACACCAACCCAGACCACCACCAATCCAGACCACCACCAACCCAAACGCCCAAACCATCCGACCACGACATTTCCTTTTTCTCCTCTAAACGAGGAGTAACCTTCTCAACCATCCCCGCCGGCGACTCCCATCCCTTGCCTCGACGCCACACCCATTACAACGCCCCAGAAACCTAACCCTCCCTCCTCAAATCCGCCGCTTGAAAAATCCCTAAATTCGACGCAACGAACAACAATTTTGTACGTGGTACCAAATAATGGCTAGGTGATAGTGTTACCAAAGAATGGCTGATGAAAGGAGAGGAGAGAGAAAGAGAGATCGGAGAAGAAGAAAGAGATAGGGGTACGACCGAGCTTTGTACGAGCGGCCACGATTCAATGATTGAAGAAATCAACGGCTTATAATTCTTGATGCTTGATGATGTTGGTCGTGATGTGCGGTGATAATGAAGAAGATGGGCTGCCGTTTTGAGTTATGGGTAATTGTGTGGTCTTGGTGTTGGAGCGCAGGAGAGGAGGAAGAGGCGACAGTCCAGCAAAGGCAGGGTGGTCGATTCAGGGTGGGAGACATGGTGAGGGGGGTTGTTTCGTGTGTGGGGACTCCGGTGGCTGCCGGAGTGGGGGAAAGCCAGGGTTCTAGTGTCAAGATGTGTAAAAGGGTCGTGGGTATCGTTGCCGGCAGGGGAGAAGCATAGACACCGGCACGGAGGAGGAGGCTGGGCTCCGACGCCGGCGTCGTAACTAGGGGCTTCTTAGTCATTTCGTTTTTTTTATATTTTTATTTTAAAGGCTAATCGTGGTGAAGGAATCAGTTAATTATATCATTAATGTTACCAATGAATTAGTAAGGATAATTAGGGTTTACCATTCATAATAAGTTTTTTTAACTTTTACCACTAAGAAAAGTAAAAAGTTCGAGTTCACCAAAGAGAATTTCCCAAAAAAAAAAAAAAATTACCCGCATAACAGAGTAATGTCAATTGTCAATCGTCGGATCTAAAGGGATATTATTTGTAAATTGTATCCGTGCTATAGCACGAGATTAAGTCGGTATCATGATTCGTCAAAATGGAATGAATTGGCATGAATTTCAAGTCTCATAAGTTTAGATAAAATAAGTTCAGAAAAATAAATCTAGTGAAAAAGAGGTGCTCACAAAAGTAATGGAACTGATAAAACAGGGTGCTTGGGATTTGAATATTTTAAACACTCTTTTCACTAAGTGGAAAGTTAGTGAAATAAAATAAAATAAAAAATCCCCATTGCTTATTGTGCTACTACAGATTGTTGGGTGTGGCAACATACAAAGAATGGTGATTTCTCTGTTAGGAGTGCCTACCATGTGCTTTTAAAGGCTAAAATGGGTGTTGCTTCTTATGCTTCTACTTCCTTGTGCAATGAGGTGTGGAGCTATCTGTGGAATGCTAATATTACCCAAATATTAAGCACTTTGGCCGGCGTGCCCTTCACAATGGGGTTCCTGGTTTGAAGTAATTTAGTGAAAAGAGGAATTTACGTGGATGATCATTGTTCGGTTTGCGGTGAAAAATCTAAGACTCTTATGCACACTCTATTTCTTTGCCCTAATGCTAGAGGGCGTCCCCATTGATCTTGTTGATCAATTTAACATGTCAATCAAAATGGCTCTTTTGTAAATGAAGTGAACAACAAATATCCACATAAGGGGGCTATGAATGATGGCAGTTATTAGTCAGCTGCTGAGTAGGATTGTAATTGATTTAACAGACATTAGAGTTTGTCCCGAGTCCGTTAGTGCTGTAGCCGACCGTCACCGTCAAGTTCTTATGTCATTGATTTGTCTTATTTATATCCACATATCATGTTCATTATTTATCCACACTTCTTATTCATTGTTCTAGGAAGTGATTTCGCAACGAAGCTTGATGTGAGTGATTTTGGTATCTAATCAACCGGAGTGTTGGGTAAGTCGAATACAAACTAAGTTCATTTTTTATTTTGTTATCTATATAAGGATCATTGTTACATTTGAAATTAAGGATTATTGACTAGCATCATTGAACACTTGGTTTTTTTTTTTTTTTAATCATATTTATGGAGTATTCTCATTATCTGTTTATTACGGATTATTAAAATGGATGGATTCTTGAAGTAGATTTTGGTGTGAAGTATTCGAATCAGTATATAAGAAAGTGTGATAATACTCGTTCGATTAGTTGGACATTGATAGTATTGTTTTGGTTAAGTCTAACTAGAATTTGTTTGTATTTGTGTTAGAATTTTGAAGACGTCTAAACTAGACATGGAGAACTGTAATGTTTCGCCCGTAGTTGGTGGCTCCATAGATAGTGGTTTGCAAGATAAGGGGAGTGGGGTTAGGTGCAGATGCAGAGAGGAGCCTTGTCTGGAAGATGATGGAAAGCATTGTTATGAAATTGGAGATGAAATTGTACCTTATGTAGAGGGGGAATTCACTCCATCTATCTATCGTGGATAACCAAGGCCAAATGATGTAACCCGTAAGTCCCCCATCAAAACAGTTGAGACGGTTGAAACCATTGTGGCTAGTAATCATATTAGTGTAGTCACATATGTCGAGGCTCCTAAAATTGGAATGGTGTTTAAAAAATGGCAAGATATAGAAGCTTATTACAAAGAATATGCAGAACAAAAAGGATTTGGGGTATGCAGAGTGCAAGGGGTGTATTCTAAGGGTTCGAATAGAGATCGTACAACAACAACTTGGAGGTGTGAGTGTTGGGGGGGACCAGACACGAGGGCTCAGAGAGAGGCAAAGAAGAGGGCAAAATCAATGCATGTGTCTGGTGGAGTTGTTGATGGAGTAGTATGTGAGGATGAACTTAGTCGTCGAAAAAGGAGGTCGAAAATATGTGGTTGCCAAGCAATGATCTATGGTAGTGTTGATAGGGATAGTGAGTGGACTTTAAAGAAAGTCAAGTTGGAACATACCCACTTAACTTCACCAGGTAAGGTAAAGCTAGTTAAAGAGTACCGGATGAAGAATTTCACATCCAAAGTTAAGAGGAAGCTGTTGAACTATTTTAAAGAGGGTGTTCCTGTATCTCAAATTCATGGTTGTATGGTTAATGAGAGTGGTGGACCAGAGAACATTGCATTTACTGTGAAAGACCTTCAACATGAGGTCTACAAGGAACGGAGGTTACAAATGGTGGGGGGTGATTCAACCGCGATGATGGCTTATTTTGCAAAAATGCAAGTTGGAAATCAGAATTTTTATCATTCACAGAGGTTGGATAATGAAGGATGATTGAAAGATGTATTGTGGGTTGATGCAAGGAGTCGTGCTGCGTATGAAGAGTTTGGAGATGTCGTGTGTTTTGATGCTACGTATTTGACAAATGAGTATGATTTATCATTTGTCAATTTTGTAGGTGTTAACCACCATGGACAATCAATTTTGTTGGGTTGTGCTTTGGTTTCCCGCGAGGATTGCGATACATATCATTGGATTTTTAAACAATGGTTAGAATGCATGAATAATCGTGCACCATTAGAAATACTAACAGATCAAGCAGCTGCAATGCGGAAGCCACTTGAGGACTAATGCCATCAACAAGGCATCGTTGGTGCATTTGGCACATAATGAAAAAAATTCCAGAGAAGCTTGGTAAATGTAAAACGTATGTGTGTACCAATATGCATATCATTGGTAGATAGTACATTTGTATTTGATACTCGTATAATTTTCTTTTAAAAAATAATTAACAAAACCCTAATAAAGTTTAACATTCGCGTATCATTATTGGTGAGCCCAATTTTAACATATGTGTATCATTACCGGTGAAACCAATTGTTATTATAATATAAGATATACCTAGTAAGACTAGCATTGTTGATTCACTCACTGAAGTTACTTTATAATTTTCAGGTATAAGGAGTTCAAAACTGAGCCGAAGGCAACTGTATATGAAAGCTTTACTGTGCAAGAGTTTGAAAGCCGGTGGTTAGCCTTTGTAAAGGAGTATGCGTTGCACGATAATGACTGGTTGAACGGGCTTCACGAGGAACGACATATGTGGGTGCCTGCTTTTATGAAGGAATATTTTTGGGCAGGAATGAAGACAGCACAAAGAGTGGAGAATATCAGCAGCTTTTTCGATGGGTTTGTTAACCGTCACACAAAATTGTTCGAATTCCCCCATAAGTACTCCAGAGAAATGACGAAGCGGGTTCAGGATGAGAACGACGCAGATGCAAAATGCTCAAAGTACCTTAGAAGACTAGTTACAGGGTTCAATGTGGAGAAGGTTTTTCAAAAGTTGTACACTAACACAAAGTTTCAAGAGGTACAAATAGAATGTTGTAGGATGATGTATTGTTATCCTCGAGATGAAATTAGAGTGTTTGAGAATGAAATTTAATACATTCTTGAGGACCGTGTATGGATAGTCCCTGAAGGATCCAGTGAGGAAGTATTAACTAACCGTCGTCGATTCTATTGTGCAACATTTAACACGGACACTAAGGAGATATTATGTGATTGTCGTAAATTTGAAACGCATAGTATCATGTGTAAGCACATAATAAGGATCCTTGATCTGAATTTTGTGAAAGAAATTCCAAACAAGTACATTGTTAACAGATGGCGTAAAGATATACTACGAAAGCACACAAGGGTGAAGGTGTCCTACCATGATCCAAGTAAGTCAATTGAAGTTATCCGCTACAATAGGCTTATGAACGCATTTGAAGGGATATGTGATGAGGCGGCTATGGTTAATGATGAGACGGTGGAGATGGTGTTAACATCGCTTACTAGATTAAAGTCCGAAGTTACTAAGTGTATGAAGCGAAAGCTAGAGCAAACCGTAGCTATGAGTTACCCCGGAGAAGGTGCTGCTACAGTTATACCAAGTTCAGAAGATAGGGCGACTACATCATCAGTTCAGAAGCCACTTCCTCAAGCTGATCAAGCACCTGATCAACCACCTTCCGGTGCACTTTGTGACAATGGCATCGTAATGAAAGACCCATTCCCAAGAAGAGAGGTCGAGGCAAGCCTAAAGCTGGACGATATAAAACTCTAGCTGAAATTGGTTACAAAATACCTCCAAAAAAGAAGGTAAAATGTACAACTATCGTTTAATTATGCTTCCTAAATGGTAACATTTTTTTTATATGTGTCAAAGGCTAAGATAGTCGCAGCAAATTCGAAAGTCCAAGCAGATGACACTCCAACAAATGCCATAGGAAAAATTCACGTATGTCATTTAGTTGTTTATAATTTGATTAAGGTAGGAATGTTGTTTTGGTTAGATATAATATGAATATGGTCATTGATGTGTTAACAGGTTAGTGGACTTCAGCCTGACGATGTCCTACCTAGTCACTTGGATTACAATCCCGAAGATGATAGTTTCCCACATAATTCTTCTAGAGGATCTTCCAGTGTGTCGGCAACCTTCTAAAGCGTCATAACGTGCGCTGATGAACCCAAATTTGTAATAATTGTTGTTGACGTAATTTTATGGCAAAAGTTGTTATATGAACACCTTGTACGTTTTCCCATAATTTGTTAGATTTTGTATTACTTTGAAGACGATATTAGTATTGAACTTAATGTTTTGGTCAGCCTACCTTTTGCAATCATCGTTTGGTAATAAGTGGCCCAAAATCCACATTATTTTAAGCTAGGCCGAATACCGATAGAATATCACTTCTTATACTATACAATTGGATCATAAATGATTTTGAATCCATGAACAACTAATCTAGATAGGGCCATGCACAATATCTATTTTATGGACCTACCATATGTTTTCACATATAGGGCCTCAAAGTCGGTATATGTTTTTAATAATTTTTAAATGAAAATATACTACCTAATAATTGTGGTATTATTGCAAACACTAATCTTAATTTGTTAAGCTAAATTTTTTTATACTTTCAAAAATTTATATTTATTGTGTTAATATTGCAAAAACTAATCTTGATTTCCCAAAAAAAAAAAAAAAATACTAACTTTTAATTGTGTTAATATTGCAAATACTAAATTTTGATTTGTTAAGATAAATATTTTTATACTTTCGAAACTAATATATATTTATTGACAATTCTATGAATACACATATGCCTAAAAAAAGAAAATTACATTACTTCACAAATCTAAATATACTAATAATGAACTTATTAAAAATTTATTTTGAGCAATAACAATGCAAATATAAATGCAGACAAATGAGTGAAATGACCATTCAGAGTTCTCCAAAAACAATGAATATGCAGAGCATCTAAATGAAAATTAAAGTGCTACAATTAATTTTATGTCAAAAAAACAAAAAGGAAAAAAAAAAAATTATTCGCCTTAGGATCGAACATAGCACCAAAACTATAAATGATACGCATAGAGCTGGGCATGGGCAGGGCTGGCACGCAGGCTGCCCGGCACGACACGCAAGATGGCCCGGCCCGGCACGAGCACGGCAACGGCACGACACGACACGTGGAACGGCCGGTGGGCCGTGGGCCGTGCCGTGAATAAGGAAATTGAAATTTGGCACGAGCACGGCAGGCGGCACGAACACCGGCCCGTCGACATGGCCCGCCAGGCACGATACTTTTATAATAAAATTAATATTTTTTTAACAAAATAATAAAGCAAATATTAAAAATAAATAATAAAAAAAATAAATAAATGAGCGGCACGGGGGGCCGGCACGACATGGCACGCTAGGCACGTGGGCCGTGCCGTGGGCCGACTTGTGGAAATGGCCGGCACGGCACGACACGACCGTGCCAGCATGACGGCACATCACGACACAGCCCGTCGTGTGGCTAGGCACGGCCGGCACGGTACGGCACGGTGCCCAGTTTTAGATACGCACCAAACCAATTAACCAAACACTCACGCACATGAATAATTTATATAATTAAATTTTTATATCCTATTTGGGGGCCGAATCAGACAATTCAATGAATTTCTTTCGCTTTGGGGGGCCCAAACAATCGAATTCATCAAAATTAAAAAAAAAATCCACATAACAAATTTTGGGGCCCTTTTGCTACATGGGCTCTTTTCCAGCCCATGTAACAAAAGGACCTCAAAATTTGTTATGTTTGGTTTAGTTCACAATGGATATCACTATCTAGACTCTTATTGATTATGTTTGGTTTTGTATTTTTCCCATTAATTAGAAAATTAGAGGTGACGGTGTATCGGAATAATAGATAACACATTTTAATCAATTTTAATTTTTTTTCGCCCTAAATGTGAACAGGAATTTAATTTGCTTAATGATATTGGTAACAGATAATTGATAAGTAGTATTTGTTTTTTTGGCGGCTTTTAAGTAGTATTTTAAACATGTTTTGTGAATGTGGTATGCTTAATATCTTCATTTATCATTTCCTATTGTACTTGTCATAAGTACTTTACATGAGAAATTATATATTTTGTTGGGGCCAACGAAATAACTATATTCGTTTTAATAAATTAGACTATTCAGGAATGTTGTTTATGATAATCTATCTAATTTCAATTTTCGATTTATTTCAAAATACAATTGAACCTAGATTGTGACTATAGCCAAATTAAACAAGGTAGGCACCATTAAACACACACAAAATATATAGTCCATTAATACAGTACCATACAGGAACACCTACAACAAAATATCCAAATTCAACCAACACGTTATATAGGGATACATAACTTGTTCAAAAATTTAAACAACTTAGAATTTAAAACAGAAACATTTTAAAACTAGAAATTTAAACAACTATTTATTTTAGTACGACATCATAACTTCAACAGCTTCACACACACCGACGTACGTCTTAGTTGGTACCAACCATCTGGTTCTTCACCCCCTTCACATAACTTGGTTTGGCAGCCTCATACTACACAATTAACATATCATAATCATGGTAAGTTAAATTATAGTGATACGATTTTAGAATAATAATTTAATAATTATAACAATATATATATATATATATATATATATATATATATATATATATATATATATATATATATATATATATATATAAATTGAAACGTGTTACTCAGTTGATCATAAAATGGATCCAGTAAATACCTTGATTGCTCCAACACGACCTAAAACACGAAACTCATGACTTGGGTTGTCCAACACCAGCACTTCTGCTTGAACCCTATTAGCATCCCACATTATTATAGTCCCACCACCAAGAGTTTTTGTCTCTTCCAACTTCCACATCATAGTAGTTTTGAGATTCTGCATCATCCGCTCACATGTAATCTTCCCTACCCGATCTTCAGTGATAATAACAAGCATTGGGTTGTGCGTTTGAACAACCTACTTAAAATCATCCTCAAATGATGGCCGTGTAATGCGTCTAGCGTTCCACAAAATTATGCTTGTACCCTTCTCAATAAGAGGCTTACGAGGCTCATTTTCTAGCGTAACTCGGATGACATGATAGCGGCTTAATGGGTTGCTATCTATAACTTCGGCGCGGAACACCATGAACGCAGCGTTCGTCACATCAGCCCGAACATGCAGAACTTGGAATGCATCAGGTAAGCATCCAACTTCCGTGGTGTACGCTGACCTAGTAAAGGGGTAAATTGGACCTTTAAAAGGTATGATTGGCTTTGGGTCGATTTTGTCAACCAAAAGCTTAGGGATGAGCTTCGTTACCCCATCATACTCAATAGGTTCAATTTCTAACCGAGGGATGATTGCTTGTACCTCCGGAAGGACAACGATATCCCTAGTGTGTGGCAAATAATGAGCGGGAACGACCTTCCCAGACTCATTCATCATTATAAGCTTGTCCATCTTGACCGGCATGATCTTCTCAGGATTTGTAATTGCATTTCGCAAATCCATTAAATCCGCCTCGTCAAGTGAAATGCTACCATTTTCACTATAAAAATACACGTAGCTGTTAAAATTCATTTATGGGCCAGATTTTTGCTCTCTAGACCAAAAATATGTTGTGCCTGTAACAAGTTGTAGGTGGTAGCCTACTGAAAACGCTGGTAAACTAGCCATCTCAATTGATCTTAGACGAAGAGGACAAATATCTTTCTTTTTTTTTAAAAAAAAGGGAAAATAAGAAGAGGTAAGATGGTTGTGTGGTGAAGGGATACCAACGTCGTACACTTATATAGGCAATATAGGTGTATAGTGTTGGACCCACTTAGTAATAATTGAAGTTGTTGCAACTCTTTGTTAACTTTTTTTAACCAACCTTAGTTAAATCTCAACCCTAATCGATTCAGCCTAGGGTTTATAATTTGGAATTGCTCAAAAGTCGACTAGTGTATATAATATTTAATACTCCCTTCGCCCACGATTATCTGCACCAAACGTCCTTTTTGCGGACTCCTAGGCAAAAAATTTAGTGAAGTTTAATTAAGTTTGGGTGGGTTTTATTAAGTGGGAAAAAGGTGAAAAATAGAGGGGTCCCTTTTATGAGTGGGAAAAAGGTGAAAAATTGAGTGTAATTAAAAGATGTTAAACAAAATTAAAAAATAAAAGTAATTAAAGGTAAGGTGGTCTTTTTACTCTTTAAAATTTACTAAAAGAGGAAAGAAATTTTTTTTTTGCACATAATAGAGAGCACCCATTTATGGCAAATGTTGCAGATAATTGTGAGCGGAGGGAGTATGTTACTAGCTTACTACTATACATCTTTTTTTATTGATTTATATTATTTTTTTAATTTCCAGAGTATAAAAAATTAAAAAAACTATTATCAGACTCTTATTAAAATAAATTCAACAAAATTAAAAAATATTTGTTAATGGGGTACTCAAACTTCGTAAAACTACAACAGAATCGTCAATTTTCAAGCAATCACCAACAATCAGGACTTGTTCTCTTCACCTGAAACTAGGGGTGAGCATGGGACGGGTACCCTTACCGTTAACACTATCGGTTCGGGTACCCGATAACCAATAACACTAACAAAATGATATCCATTGCCCGAACCAATAAGTTCGGGTACTCGAACTTTGGGTACCCAGATGGTTATCGAGTACCGAATATGATATCCAATAATAAAAATTTAGATTGTATAATATAGTTATTATGATATCATTCAACACTAATCAACAATAATACCACATGATCATGACCAAATTACTAATTATTACTAATCATTTAAGTTATGAAGTGATTACGAAGTAAAGTTTGAGTTTAGATTTTGGATAAATAGATTTAAGTAGGAAAAAAAAAAGAAAAATTGCTTATCGGATCGGATCAGGTAACCGTTAGTTTTAAAAAGAAACCCAATAACCGTACCCGATAACAAATTATCGGATCGGGTACCCGAACCATTATGGTTATCAAAGCGGGTACCCTAATTTTCGGTTCGGTTACGGTTCGGTTTTTCGGTTTTCCGGATAATTTTGCTCAGCCCTACTTGAAACAAGTAGATATAGTCTGATTTTTTTTTAAGGTTTGATCTGGTGTGA